TACCTTCAAAGTATCATCCTTGAGAACTTGCGATTATATCCGGTTATTCCACTGCTAGCACCACATATGTCATCTGCAGATTGCAGCGTTGGAGGATATGACGTGCCTGCTGGCACGATTTTGTTTACAAATGTTTGGGCTATTCAGAGAGATCCTGCTTTGTGGGATGACCCAACAAGTTTTAAGCCTGAGAGGTTTGAAAATTGGAAATCTGAAGCATACACTAACATGCCATTTGGAATGGGAAGGAGAGCTTGTCCGGGGGAAGGGTTAGCAAGGAGAGTAGTGGCCATGACATTAGGATTGTTACTTCAATGCTTCGAGTGGGAGAAGGTTGATGGAAAGGAAATCGACATGACTGAAAAGATGCACACACTTATGTGCAGAGATGAGCCTTTGGAGGCCATGTGTAAAGTGCGTCCAAACATTGCCGATCTTCTATAATCAGCGAGAAATTGTAAAATATTAAAAAAAAAAACTATAGTATATTTACAACTTTAATAATATTTCGTTATTATATATAAAAGGGTGCTAATGTGTCCCTTATTTGAACAAGTTAATGGACTACCTTTTTTTCCTCTTCTTAAAAGTAAGTTTCTAAAAGAAAATGGTTACAGAAATAGGCCAAAGGCTAAAGCATAAATTTAGACCACTATTGATATTTTGGCTTATCTTTTTTTTTTTCAACTGTAATTCATAGAAGTACAATTTCTTAATGTGTCTAATATTTTCTTGTAATTAGATAAATAAAAAGTTGCTAACGCGTGTTCTTTTTTTTTCGGTTACCAAGCATCTCAATCTTACATTAAAAATAAGACTAATTATGTTCGAAACAAGAGTGACAGGATTTATCCATTTTAACAAATGTAACTTCAAGATTCGAATCCTGTATATTTATAAAAAATCGTCTGGAAACCAACTCGTTTACCACTGTGTTAACAAAATGTTAGTAATGTGTTTCTTTTTTGACCTAGGCAGCTGACTACTTTTTTTTTTTTAATCACATTTATCCCTCTTCATTATTTGAGTAGTGTTCTAAAATAAATGGTTATAGAAAGAGGCCAAAGGCTCCAGCAGAAAACAAGATGCCTATTGATATTTTGGCAGATGGGTTTGGGCCTGAACAAAAATGTTTTGGGCCTTATATTTACTTATAGTGTCTCATTTCTAGACAACCTTACCATATCCACTAGTCCATGTTGAGGTTCAAATCTATCTTTGCAGCCCACAACTAGTTCTCGTGAAAACGAACAGAACTCCCATGTTAAACAGATCGAGCTAGTGTGGATCGGTAATGTGGTTAGAAATGCTCGTTTAAAATAATTTTTAATTGAAAAAAAAATATATCAAATTGATTTTTTTTTTTTTTAGTGATTTGCCGATGGTTTTTATATAATATCAAAATCATAAAAAAATCAATTAAAACATAATATCAAATGAATTTTTTGTTAATAAAAATTGTAATGGATCCAATATGAAGTGGATACATGCTTAATCCGAATTAATAAATATTTATTAAAAAATTTTATGAGTATTAAAATAAATAAAGGTAAAAGAAATATTTCTATTAGTATGAATTTCGAGTATGAATATTTACTTTATACCTTAGTAATATGTATTTATTTTTTTAACATGTATGAACCTGATTGGGGAAAAAAAATTATAAGCTAGAGATCAAAATGTTTTTTATTAAAATTTTAAAAACCAAAAAACTTATAAATAAAGTACCCAATTGTAAATAAATATTAATTTTAATAACCAAAATAACTTTTGCTAAAATCATGAGATTAAAATGAAATATTTTGATAAATTATTTTTATATGGACGAGCCAATTAAATGAGCTGGTATATCATATATGAACCAAGTACGAATTTAAAGGATAATTTCTTAATAAATATAGATATTGTAGTTTTTTTTTATGGGCAGAATAAGAAATTGAGTTAATAAACGGATATCTCAATTTGTTGATTACTTTTTGGTCCTTGTCCCTTCCATGATTAATGCATATAGTAACCACCTTCGCTACTATTTAATTAGATGGTGAGGGCATAGAGGTCCTAATCATATTTGTCGATCAATTCTGACCAAATTGGTTAGCCACGGAACCAAACTGGTGTGACCAATTTGATCGTTCAAGATGTACTCATTATTAATTCCTTATATTATCTATTTAGTCCCTTGATTTTTTATGTTTTCTTTTTTGGGCCTACTTTGAACAAAGATTTCTGGGCTAGGTTGGACCTTAATTTCTTCAAATATTTATGTTCGGCTTGAAGTATTCTTGGCCATAAAAAATAACTAGGTTTGATACTTCATTGAGTTAAAATTATATAAACAGTTAGTAAATCAGACTATGAAAAATCCAATTATTTATGACAAATCTTTACATCCTTACATGACATAAGTCAAGAAGTACAAAAGTCGTTGGGAAAGCAAACCAGAAAAAACAAGCTTAGAGGACCCATATCATGTAGTAAATTACAATTAGTCCTTTTATTTTTTCAAAACAAATTAAATAGTCCCTCTTGATTTAAAAACAAATTATTTAATCTCTTAACCATTTTCACCATGATTAATCTAATACTATTTTGTTCTAAAAATATCTTTTTTTCATAAATCTTTCCATATTCTTTATTTTTTTATATTAAAACAAAATTAAAAAAAAAAAAGAAACAACAAAAATGTAGGTGGAGTAGTAAATTAAAAAGGTGTATCCGACTCACTAAGTTGGAAGTTTGACCCTCATCCTTGCTTTTTTTTTTTTTTTTTTAATGATATTAGAGATGAATAGTTAGTGGATTAACAAAGTTAAATTCTTAAAATCGACAAAAAATAAACATTACTTGACACCGATCTAATCTAAAAAGTAGTAGATTGAGCTTTGATTAATGCAAAAATTGATTTAAGATATCTTGTTACCTTTAAATATCAAAATAAATTGAAACCTTTAACTATCAAAAATAAATTGAAAAAGAAAGAAAGGATTATATGTTACAAAAAGATTTATAAATACGGAAACTAGTTAATTACTTATTGAACCTTGAGGGACTATTTAATTCTTTTTGAAAAACTATAAGGACTAATTTATAATTTGCTATCATATCACTTGACAAGAGGGTTTATATATATATATATATATATATATAAACGTGAAGCCAAAGCCACAGCCCACAAGATTTGAATCTATATTGAAATTGTGTGCTAAAAGTAGACCCAGGAAATTTCTTTAACATTTCTTGCTTTGACAGAATCCCTCCTCACTGTTAAGATGAAAGAAAAGGACGAGCGAAACGACGACTTGTAGATCTTCCAACTTGACCCTCCAAAACCCCTTCTGGAATTCAGACCTGGTCGTAGTCACATGAGTTAGAGAGCTGTTTCCTAGAAAGAGGAAATTAATGGAGGTTTTGTTTAATAGTCAATAGATATTAATGAATTGTGCATTAAATATTGTAGATGGGATGCCCTAATCATGAAAGGTATGTTTTTTCGATATTCAAAGGGTTAATTAAACCATCAAAAGTAAATTTTCATGAATCTTGTTTTTGTTTCTATGATGCAAGTGATTTTTTATGGAAAAAAAATAATTTAATTCAATCAAGATATATGAAAGTTGTATGAGAAATGTCCGCTAATGATAGAACAAAAGATTATTAATTTGATAAAAAAATTAATTTTAATACACAGCTTTGTTCAAATTGTTTAAATATTAGAAGTAATGGGATATTTTTATGTTAGGTTTAGCATCAACTAAAACTAAATTCACAATTTTTTAAACTAAGAATGAAAATTGATAAAACTAAATTCCTAATTTTTTAAACTAAGAATGAAAATTGAATAATCGAACTGAAAAACATTTTGGGTATCTTTTTTGAAAATTCAATTAATCAAATATCGGTAGAAATATTTCAAAACTAAACTGAAAAATCGAAAAATCACCTCTATTTAAGCTAAGATAGCGTCAATTTTTGATCTATTACTAAATTATTTTTTAAACCAAATCAACTTAAATTCAATATCAAAAGATATAATTATGACTAGTTATTTATGAATAATAAAAATTAATTTTAGTTTGATCTAAATTAACTAAGAAAATTTTAATAGAACATTTTTTTATAGTAAATTATTAGATATTTTATTTGATTAATAAGTAAGTGTTTGCTTTTTATATATCATCTAAGACACAAATTTCAAAAAAAAATTATTATGAATATTTTAATCCAGATATGAATGATTTACTCAAGATCAGATCGATTAAAAAAAAAAAAAAAACTTAATTTTAATACACGGATGTTAACTGCATGAACTATATATCCTTATCACCATTATGATCCAAAACAAAGTTTTTACTCTCTTCCACGTAAGTCCTAAGATGTCTTGGATTTTAGCTTCTTCTCGTTCCAAAAGTGCAACTGACTGGAAACGAAGTCGTTTTCCACACAGGAAACACCAATGAGCTTTCCTTGGCTGGTTCTACAAGGTTCAATTTATTGACCATAGACTACTGACCCACCTTGTGGTTGACTTGTCAGTTTTCTCTCCTTCCCTATAAAATCTCTCCCATTGTCTCTTCAGCTCACCAAGTTTTCTTAGTCCTTATCCTCAAAAACTTCCTTTATTGTCTTTGATCTTCAATTTTCGTTGAGCAGATATTCCCTCGAAGCCATAAAAACGAAGGTGAGAATCAAGTTTCTGTGTATTTTCTGTTAGTACCAAGTGGAGTTATGTGCAGGCAGCCATGCATGAAAGGATGAATCCAGTTTTCATTTCTTGTTTTGATCATGCATGAAAACCTTACTGCTTTTCTATAATTCTGGCAATTTTTTATAGCTCAAGTTTCATTTTCTGGTCATAGTTTTGGGCTTCATCTTTAGTGATCAGAACTGTTTCTTGATTATCTTGGCATTGATTTATAAAAAAACTAACTTGAAAGCTTATTTTGTTACAGCAAGTTGTGTTGAGATTGGAAGTGCATGATGAGAAAGCCAGGAAAAAAGTCATGTCGAGAGTCTCTACTCTCGCAGGTATTGATTTTTTTTCTCTATGATTAGGTTAAATTATAAATTAATCTCTTTTGTTTTAAAAGATAAATTAATTAGTTTTTCTCGTTTCAAAAACTAATCATTTAGTTTCTAGTCGTGAAGTTTTTATCAGGTCTGTCAAATTAATATATAATATCTAAAATATTTTTAATATATATATTAATCTCTGGAAATATATTTTGGTGTTTGAGTTAAAAAAAAAGTAATAAAAAAAAGTAGAGATTTGAGGAGAGAAAAGATAATTTATCAATAGAATTAAAACATGAGAACTAAATAATTAGTTTTCAAAACGAGAAGGATTAATTTATAATTCACTCCCAAAATTATCATTGAAGCATTTATGATTTTTTTTTCTTAAAGAAAATAAGTGTTCTAATATGAGGTGCAAATTTGCAGGTGTGGAATCAATATCCGTGGATATGAAGGACAAGAAATTGACGGTGGTAGGAGAGATTGATGCAGCAAAATTAGTGAACAAATTGAGAAAGTTATGTCACGCAGATATAATTACAGTAGGACCATTTAAAAAGCCTGAACCTAAAAAAGAAGAGCCCAAGAAAGAAGAACCTAAGAAAGAAGAGCCTAAGAAGCAAGAAGAAGAGAAGAAGAAAGAACATGATCCTGTGGCTGAGTTGGTTAAGGCTTACAACGCCTATAATCCTCACTTGACAACATATTACCATGTTAGAAGTATTGAGGAGGATCCTAATGCTTGTGTCATTTCTTAATTTTTTTTAATTAAAAGAAATTACACCTGAAAATTTTAAATTATAATTTCACATTTTTAATGTTTGTTTAGGAATTGATTCGGCATGTTTGTCAAGAGTATCTTTTGAGTTTTATATCAATTTTATTTATTCAGAAAAATAAATGTTTTTTTTGTGCCATATCAAGATTCAATGGAAGGAAACAAATCTTGTTGATCATCCGATCACGAATTAAGAGTAGTTGTATATATAAAAATAAAATTAAAAAAATATATTCCAATGGATTTCATTATCTATCGAGAAAATTCGAAACTGGTTAAAGATTTAATAAATTGTGTATGAGATCTTTGACCCAACTCAATTCGATCAAATTTTATTAATTAGGAGGCAACCCCAGCCTAAATATAAAATAGATAAAAAAAAATTTTAATAATTAATTTTTATAATTGTTTCGTTTCTCAAAATTAGAGGGAGTAATTGATAGTTTAGACTGGGATTTTGACTAGACAGAGGTGTTTGCCATAACAAATAACATATCTTGACCCTTATTGAATTGAAATTCTATTAATTATTATATCTTCTTACATGTATGTCAAGCACAAAATGTGAAATGGAAACAAGAGGTACAAAATTAGTTAAAAGAGCATATCGTGTGGAAAAAAATTAGAGTATATTCGAAAACAAAATAATAAAATAATATGATATATAAATTTTGGAGATGCCCAATATGCATTTTCTATCAAATAATCCTTAAGTTGGATAGTTTAATTAAAAATATATATTAAATTCATGGACCAAAATGTAAACTTTTTCAAAGTTTTTAGCATACCATGTCCTTCATGTCCGCTCCCAGTTCCATCGATCCCTAGCGTCATATGACAAGAGGGGCAAAATATAATACAATGAAAGAAAGCTGAATCTTCATTAATCACATATAGCCAGAAACCCGGATGTGAAGTAAATTATATACTAGTCTCTCTACTTTTAAGAAAATAATTATTTAGTCCCTTGCTTCTTTAATGATTATGATTAATTTAATATTATTTTTTTGGTTTTCAAAAAATATCTTTTTTTCCTCCCCGATCTTTTTATAGTATCTATTTTTTTTCCTTTTTCTGTTTTAAAAAAAAATTAGAAAATAAAATAAAATTGATAAAAAAATGACTAAATAACTAATTTTCAAGCTAGAAGAAATAACTAAATTAGTTCTTTTTATTTTAAAAACTAGTCATTGAATATTTTAATCAGTATTGATTGTATTTAATTTAAAACTGCTTTATTTCAAAAAAAATATTTTTTTTCTCATCAATTTTTTCATAATATCCATTTAAAAAAAGACAATTTTTATAATGTTCTAAAAAAAAAAAAAAAAGATGAAAGCAAGTGGCCATATTGCAATTGCTCTTATTTTCGACGATGAAGCATAGGGTGAGCATTATTCGGTTAAAACCGAGCCAAACCGAATTAGAGATTTCGGTTTGATTGGTTTTTTTTTTTTAATTCGTTTTTCACCAAAAAACCGAAACAATGTTTTTTTAAAAAAAAAACACATCAACCCAAGGCTCATGGTATTTTCCTAAAAGAAAAAAAAAAAAAAAGGGCAAACAAAGAATGGTCTAGTAGTAATTTTAATAAACTAAAACGTGTGGGGAGTTCATCTGTTTAAATGAACAGTGAACTCTCACGCTATTGTACTATTCATTTGAATTTTTTCTTTCTTTTACACTTACACTATACTCCTCAATCCTACTTTTCTTTCTTTTTATTTTCACTATTTTTTTTTACATTATTTCGATTTTTTTTTTTTGTAATTTTCATTCTTAGTTTTTTTTCTTTAGGTTTTTTTAGCTTTTAAATTATTTCATTTTGATCTCTAAAATTTTAAAATAAAAATTTTAATCCTTAGCTGATGCACTATATGTCTTTTCTTTTTTTCTTCTTTTTTTTTTTTAATCAAGTTTGCATTCTTTTTTATTTAATTGAGTGTTAAAATTTTTAAAGATAGTTCATTATTTTTTTCATACTATATTACTCAGCTTTTTTTTTTCACTCTTAGTTTTTTTCCTTGGCTTTTTTTTTTAATTTTTAAATTATTTCATTTTGATTCCTAAAATTTTAATCCCTAGCTAATGCGCTGTATGTCTTTTCTTTTTTTCTTTGTTTTTTTTTTTTTTTACTTTTTTCATCGATTTATGTTCTTTTTTTATTTTATTGAGTGTTAAAATTTTTTAAAATCAATTGTTTTTTTTTTCACACAAGCCGATGATTATATAATATATATAGATCAAATGTATATACTTTAAAAATCATCATCTTACAATGTACTATTCACTCCTTTTTTTTTTTTTTACCCTCACGATATACTATTCACTCTTACTTTTTTTTTCAAATTATTTTTTTGTAATTTTCACTCTTACTTTTTTTCTTACATTTCTTTATGATTTTCAAATTATTTCATTTTGATTCCTAAAATTTTAAAATAAAAATTTTAATCCCTATCTAATGCACTACATGCCTTTTCTTTCTTTCTTTTTTTTTTTTATACTTTTTTCCATCAATTTATTTTTTTTATTTAATAGGATGTTACAATTTGAAAAAATCAATTGTTGCTTTTTTCACGTAAACTAACGATTATATAATATATATAGATCATATGTATATATTTAAGAAAAAAAAGTCTTCTTATCAACATTAAATAAGAATAAAATTTTATTTTTTCACTCGGTTAATTGTTATGTAGTCTATGCATTGATTATAACTTATTTTTTTCGATATATTCTTATAGAACAACATATTTTTAAAGTTTTTGTTTTTATGAAAACATTGTTCTCCCCCTCACAATGTATTATTCACTCTTTTTTTTTTTTTTTTTTACCCTTACGATGTACTATTCCTTACTTTTTTTGTTACCCTCACAACGTACTATTCACTCTTGTTTTTTTTTTTTACCCTTATAATATACTATTCACTATATTTTTTTTACCCTCACAACGTACTATTCACTCTTATGTTTTTTCTTTTTTATTTTCACTCTTAGTTTTTTTCTTTTTTCATAGGTTTTTTTTTTTTGTAATTTTGAAACTATTTTGTTTTGATCCTTGAAATTTTAAAATAAAAATTTTAATCCCTAGCTAATGCATTGCATGTCTTTTTTTTTTCTTTTTCTTTTGATTTTTCTCATCAATTTATGTTCTTTTTATTTATTTAATTGAGTGTTAAAATTATTAAAAATCAATTGTTACTTTTTTTTCACACAAATTGACGATTATATAATATGTATAAATCAAATATATGTACTTTAAAAAAATCTTCTCATCAACATTAAATAAGAATAAATTTTTATTTTTTTATTAGTTAATTTTTATGTAAGTCTATACATTAATTGTAACTTTATTTTTTGGATATATTCTTATAAAATAATATATTTTTAAATTCTTAATTAATATTTTAGGTTTAAATTATATATTACAAGTTTTTATTTAGGAATCCCTAAATAAAGAAAAATAAATCATTTTTTAATCAGAAATTATATGGAAAAAAATAGTAAGAATTAAATAAAAAATTATAAAATTTTGAAATGATTTTATTCTATCTACTTGTTACGTTACGTAGATAATTTTAAAAATTAATTTTCTTATTAGCATTAAATAATAATTTTTTTTCATTTGTTAGTTTTTATAAAAGTCTATTTATTAATTATAACTTTATTTTTTTAATATAATATTATGAAAAATATATTTTTAAAATTTTTTTAATTCTTGGATAATATTTTAGTTAAAATCAATCCATAAAGAAGAATGATTTATGTTTTTTTTAAGTAAATAATTTATAAAAAAAACATTAGAAAAAATCAATTAAATATGAAATTATAATGAAAAATTTTTCGTGAGCAACTGGCTGGTTCTTTCTATTTCTACTCTGTCTCTCTATCTCTCTCTCTATATGCAATGCAATTTATAAACTTATATCTGAAAGTTCTACCTCGCACACTTTGTAATGTGCATGCAAGAACAACACAAAGTGCATTTCAAGTCCTTCCATGGTCATGATTATGACCCACTCTCTTATAAATTTTCACCTTTTGAACTGATTATGACCCTCTTCCGTAAAATTTTCCAACTTTTGAAAAGATGATAATTGGTAGAAAGATTTTTCCTTCTAATAAATTAGATTGCGATTTTACTGCACATAGGTGAAACTTGTTATATATAATTGAATTAGACATATAATATTCAACAATTGTTATCAATGATTGTATACCAATAAAGTTTTTTTTTATAAAAAAATGTAACCTATTAGTATTCTTTGAAAATCGAAAAAAGAATTACAAAATAGTGGCCATTCAATTAAGTCCAAGAGAAAATTAAAAATTCAGAAGAAAAAATACAAAAAATAATTTAAAAAAATCGATTTGTAACCAAAAAATCGAACTGAAAAATTGAATTTTTTAATTTAAAAACCGAATCTCAATTTGGTTCGATTTTGATTTTTGTTTTAATCAATTTAGCTAATTGAAAACTGAAAAAAAAACACCGAAACTGAATCAAAAAACCAAATGATCACCCTTAACTAAGCATGTATATATTAAATAAACATAACTAGAATAATGACATGTGAAGTACAAAAATTATTGCTTTAGCTTGAAAACATGAATTACTCAAAAAAGTAACTATCAATACTAAGGTGATATTTGATAAAATTGAAAATTAAGTACCGAATCACGTTAAGTACTGAATTTTAAGTTCGGATAATTTAATACTTAATATGTTACCGATAAGATATTTGGTATTTATTGAAAATTAAGTGCTGAATATAATAAAATTATTTAATAAATACTGTCATTGAATATATTAAGGTTATATACATGATAATTTTAATCTTGTAATTATAATATGATATTTTTTAATATAAATAAAAATATGTATAGTATATATGTTTATGTATATAAATAAATAAAATTCAAAAAAAATAATTATTAATAAAAAAATTAAATACGGTTGTTCATCGAATATACAACAGCA